GGGCATGGTGGCAAGTACCTGTAATCCCAGCTACTCAGTAGGCTGAGGCAGGAGAATCTTGAACCCGGGAAGTGGAGGTTGTGGTGAGCCAAGATCGAGCCGCTGCACTCCAGCCTGGCAACAAGAGCAAGACTCCAACTCGGTGGAGGTTGCAGTGAGCTGAGATTGTGCCACTGCACTCCAGTCTGGGTGACAGAGTGAGACCCCCTCTAAAAAGGAAAAATAAATAGCTTTATGAATTGAATCTTTCCAAAACACATGGCTTTAAATGAACATCCCACCAGAGCCGAGTGCAAGTGTGAATCTCTGGGTTAAAAAGCCTCTTTATCAATTTAACCCTCTCTGGCCATCCCTCCCCTCCAGCGTGGATGCAACTAGAGAGACAAATCGCCTAGGAAGACTGATCAATCACAGCAAAGGTGGGAACTGCCAAACCAAACTGCACGACATCGACGGTGTACCTCACCTCATCCTCATCGCCTCCCGAGACATCGCAGCTGGGGAGGAGCTCCTGTATGACTATGGGGACCGCAGCAAGGCTTCCACTGAAGCCCACCCATGGTTAAAGCATTAACCGGCGGACCCTGCGCCCTCCCACCCCACCTTCCCTTCTTCAAAGGACAAAGTGCCCTCAAAGGGAATTGATTTTTTTTTTTTTTTTACACACTTAATCTTAGCAGATTACTTCAGATGTTTTTAAAAAGTATATTAAGATGCCTTTTCACTGTAGTATTTAAATATCTGTTACAGGTTTCCAAGGTGGACTTGAACAGATGGCCTTATATTACCAAAACTTTTATATTCTAGTTGTTTTTGTACTTTTTTTGCATACAAGTCGAATGTTTGTGCTTCCCGTGCATGCAGTCCAAGACTCAGCACAGGTTTTAGAGGAAACAGTCAAACATGAACTAGGAAGCCAGGCGAGTCTCCTTTCTCCAGTGGAAGAGCCGGGACCTTCCCCCTGCACCCCGACGGCCAGGGACGGGGTGCGAGGAAGACGCTGCCTCCCAATGGCCTGGACGGGATGTTTCCAAGCTCTTGTTCTCCTAACGTCTCAACAGGCGCTCATTGAAGTGTATGAATATTTTTAAAACGGTTTCGCAGTAAGCTAGTCTTCCCCTCTGCTTTCTTGAAAGCTTCCTGAGCCCCAGGCCCTGAGCACAGGCCAGGCTGGATTTCCTCTTCCACAAGCTGCCGTCTTTCTGGGCACCTTGGAGCACCAGGGCACGAAATCAAACTAGATGTGGGCAGGGAGAGTGTTGCTTACCTGCCCTGCTGGGGCAGGGTTTCCTGAAACTGGGTTAATTCTTTACAGAAATGTGAACACTGAATTTATTTTAAAAAAATAAAAATTTAAAAAAAAAATCAAAAAGAAAAAAGATTAAAAAAAACCACAGAAAACAACTTAAATGTATATAGGTCTTGAAGTGAGTGAAGTGGCTGCTTTTTTTTTTTTTTTTTTTTTTTTTTTTTTTTTTTTTTTTTTTTGTGTGGCTTTTTGTAGAAAAGATTGAGAATGGTACTCTAATCAAAAATAAAGTTTTGTAGTGGGACCAGAAATTACTTACCTAACATCCACCCCCATTTCCCCGCATCCTACTGGGGTTGAAAGTTCCAGACCTGCTGTTGAAGCCTTGTGTTTGACAGACACCTGGCGGCCCTCCTGTAAGGCCGCAGCCGTGAGCTGAGGTGTGAGCCTAGGAGCCCAGGACCCCTGACCCCAGCCACTGCTGCCAGCTTCAGAAAGGCACCCAGGTGTGCAGGGGAGCGCATAGGGCCCAGCAGCCCCCAGGAATCAAGGACAGGGCTAAGGTTTTCACCTTGACTCTGAGGGTAGGAGGAATAAGTGGCTGCCTCCTCCCTCCCTTCACAGAACTGATTCTCACTCACTGTTCCTTCAGTCCAGGAGGCCGGGGCTCAGGAGCCGTGACCTGGTGTCTCCTGCCCACCCTGGTCCCAGGTAAATGTGAATGGAGACAGGTATGAAAGCCTGTCCTCATCTTTGATTCCCCCCAACCCTGCCCCAGGCCTCACGACGGTGCTACCTAAGAAAGTCTTCCCTCCCACCCCCTCACTAGCCTGGTCATTGGTCAGCGAATTGGATGAGGATCCGACAGGAGTGTAAATGTGAGATACAATGTCTTGATTGTACCTGTTTGTGGTTTAGCTTTGTATTTAAACAAACAAGGAAATAAACTTGAAAATTATTTGTCATCATAAAAATGAAGCAAAAATTAAAATATTTATTGCCAGGCAAGGCCACTTGTGTGCATCTTTCTGTTTTTACAAGGCAGAGGTAGAAAAAAGTTGAGTTTGATCGTGTTTACATAAAGAGCATGCCAGCATGAGTCTAAGCTTTGGTAAGCATCCTAGGGAACCACAAAAGCTTACTGATGTGATTTTGAGCGTGTTCCTTCGAACTCAGTTCTTCGGTTTCCTTGTCTGTATACTGGGGACCACTGGGTGCTTGTGAGATTCAAAGTTAATGCCGCGGTTGGGCACAGTGGCTCATGCCTGTAATCGCAGCACTTTGGGAGGCCAAGGCGGGCAGATCACACGAGGTCAGGAGTTTGAGACCAGCCTGACCAATATGATGAAACCCCATCTCTACTAAAAATACAAAAATTAGCTGGGCATGGAGGCAGGTGCCTGTAATGCCAACTACTCAGGAGGCTGAGACAAGAGAATCGCTTGAACCCAGGAGGCGGAGGTTGCGGTGAGCTGAGAATTGTGCCATTGCACTCCAGCCTGAGCAGCAAAGAGCGAAACTCCGTCTCAAAAAAAAAAAAATGCGGCCAGTCACAGCTCATGCCTGTAATCCCAACACTTTGGGAGGCTGAGGCGGGCAGATCACATGAGATCAGGAGTTTGAGACCAGCCTGACCAATAGGAAGAAACCCCATCTCTACTGAAAATACAAACATTGGCTGGGTGTGGTGGCAGACGCCTGTTATCCCAACTACTTGGGAGGCTGAGACAGAAGCGCTTGAACCCAGGAGACAGAGGTTGCAGTGAGCTGAGATCAAGCCACTGCACTCCAGCCTGGGCGACAGAGTGAGACTCTGTCTCAAAAAAAGTATTAACTTCTTTTTTGAGGAGTTTCACTCTGTCGCCCAGGCTGGATTTCAGTAGTGTCAGTCTTGGCTCGCTGCAACCTCCAATCTCCACCTCCTGATTTCAAGTGATTCTCTTGCCTTGGCCTCCTGAATAGCTGGGATTACAGGCATGCATTATCACACCCAGCTTTTTTTTTGAGATGGAATTTCACTCTGTCACCTAGGCTGGAGTGTGGTGGTGTGATCTGGGCTCACTGCAACCTCCTCCTCCCAGGTTCAAGAAGCAATTCTGCTTCAGCCCCCCAAGTAGCTGGGATTACAGGCACCCGCCACCAAGTCCTGCTAATTTTTTTATATTTTTAGTAGAGATGGGGTTTCACCATGTTGGCCAGACTGGTCTCGAACTTCTGATGCCAAGTGATCTGCCCGCTTTGACTTCCCAAACTGCTGGGATTACAGGCATGAGCCACTGTGCCCGGCCCCAGTAGAGACAGGGTTTGACCATGTTGGCCAGGCTGGTCTCAAACTCCTGACCTTAAGTGATCCACCTACCTCAGCCTCCCAGAATGCTGGGATTACAGACGTGACCCACCACGCCCAGCTTAAAAGTTTGCATTTTGAGCCTTAGAACAATGCCTGGCACATTGTAAACATCATAAATTTTGGCTGCTGTCATTATTGTGATTTATAATTTACTAGACTTGATGATTTTTATGAGGCTTGGAATCATCACTCCCCCTGTCTTGTGTTGCATCCCTCTTACCAGCCCAGATCCCTGTATCCTCCATGCTTGGGCACTGGTGGCAGATGGGAACTGTGAGTAGAGTCCTTGGTTTAGACTCAAGAGATCGAGTTCCAGCATGAGTTTTAATGTTTGTCAGCTGTGTGATGTTGGCCAAATCACTTCACCTCTCTGAAACTTGTCTATCAAATAGGGATAACCTCTGCCCACTTGCCTCCCCCCCACCCCGAAGACCCAGGCATCAGTATTACAGCTTCACCTTGGAGTGGACGTGTGTCCTGCTGGAACAGAACCTCTGCTTCCCATCCACTGCTGTGTAGCCCTGGACACTACTCAGTCTCCTTGTGCATCAGTTTCCTTTTCTGTAACATGGAGACAGTAGTAGTACTTGCACAGGGTGATTGTGAGGATTTAATGAGTCAATACCAACAAACAAAAAACTTGGAACAGTGCCTTGCGCATAGGCAATCTTCAGTAATCAATATCAGCTATTATTAGGATTAAAAATTTGGCTGGGCACAGTGGCTCACACCTGTAATCCCAGCACTTTGGGAGACCGAGGTGGGCAGATCATGAGGTCTGGAGATTGAGACCATTCTGGTCAACATGGTGAAACCCCGTCTCTACTAAAAATACAACAATTAGCTGGGCATGGTCACACGTGCCTGTAGTCCCAGCTACTCAGGAGGCTGAGGCAGGAGAATCGCTTGAACCAGGGAGTCGGAGGTTGCAGTGAGCCAAGATTGTGCCACTGCACTCCAGCCTGGCAAGAGAGCAAGACTCCGTCTCCAAGGCCCTGTTCATTTTAAAAGGTGACTGCCGGTCAGGCATGGTGGCTTATGCCTGTAATTCCAGCAATTTGGGGGGCTGAGGTGGGTGGATCACCTGAGGTCAGGAGTTCTAGATCAGCTTGGCCAACATGGTGAAACCTCATCTTTAGTAAAAATACAAAAATTAGCCAGGCATTGTGTCAGGTGCCTGTAGTCCCACCTACTCAGGAGGCTGAGGCAGGAGAATCACTTGAACCCAGGAGGCGGAGGCTGCACTGAGCCGAGATTGCGCCACTGCACTCCAGCCTGGCTGACAGAGCAAGACTCTGTTGAAAGAAAAGAAAAAAGAAAAGAAAGAGAAAGGGAAGGAAGGAAGGGAGGGAAGGAAGGAAAAGAAAGAAAAGATGATTGCTACAGCAACCACTTCCTGTGCCTTCTGAGACTTGGTGTGAAAACCTGCTTCTAAGCCTGTTTCTCCCCAGGGTAGGTTTGTAGCTGGAATCCTGCAGCGTGAGAACCGCCAGAGCCCAGATGGCATCACAGCTCTGTCATCTGTGGTCAAGCCAGGCTGTCTCTAGGAGAATCGCCCACAGGACTTCTGTTCCAGAATGCCCACCTGCCAGCGTCATACTTTACCAAGCGTTGCACGCCAAGCATTCCTCACTGTAGCTTTTTTTAGTCTTCTGGGGTACCAGAGCCACCAGGGCCATCTTAACCTGACACTGCTTTCTGAGTGGGTTCCCTCGCCCTATCTATCCCCACAGGGAGCCAGGGGAGCATGTATGTATTTGGAGACAGGGTCTCACCCCGTCACCCAGGCTGGAGTGCAGTGGTGTGGTTATAGCTCACTGCAGCCTCAAACTCCCAGGCTCAATCTTCCCGCTTCAGTCTCCCCAGGAGCTGGGACTACAGGTGCTCACCACCATGCCTGGCTAAATTTTTAAAATTTTTTTGTAGAAACAGGGTCTTAATATTGTGGAAAGAAAAAAGTTCCTCTTCAAAGTTTCCCTTCTTGTTAAAGAATGATAATAAATGATATAAATAGTAGTTTCTTTCAAAAACTAACTTTCTTCAAAGGCTTCTTGCTTTTTGCTAATACCTCTTTGTTAAGCCCTATCCTATGTAGCTGTTAGACATAAGGGAATAAGTACATTCAATGTCCTTGTACTTTAACCAAGATATCTGTGCTAGACATGCTCACAGGCACGTAGTAAATTCTATGTCCTTGTACTTTAAGCAAGATATTTGTGCTGGATGTGCTCACAGGCATGTCCCGGCTCACAGCCCATGCCCTTCCTTACTTGGGAATGTTATTATGTTTCTAAGTTGTTTAGCAAGCACCTTCCTTTTTCCTTTGTTCTCCATTGCCTTTGCCTATTTAGAAAAGTTTTAAGTTGTTAGCCAACCGGATTGTTTAGATTGTGAGGTCTGGCTCCAACCAACAGAGACGGGACATCGCAGTAAGGACCCAATGCGTAAGGAATAAATATGCCTGCCTTTCCTTTGTTCATTGTGCTTTTGTGGCAAGATTGCTGATGGACAGCATCTTTTCTGCAGAAAGTGAAATTGCCTTTCTGAGAAAACTTTTTGTCTGAATGTTCATTTTTCCTTGCAGTACCAAGGAACAAGTATTTTATTTATGTTGCCCAGGCTGGTCTTGAACTCCTGGGCTCAAGCAATCCTCTCACCTTGGCCTCCCAAAGTGTTGGGATTACAGGCTTGAACCACTACATCTGGCCAGGGTTGCAGTGTTAATCAGGGTTCTAGGGATCAGGAGCCCTGATCTAACAATAGTGTTCTGGACTAGCCTCTTTTTTTTTTTTTTTTTT